TTGGCTCTCTGAGGTGGGGGCGGGGCTGTGCGGACTGGCGGAAGCGGAGAGCTCAGGGCAGAGCGCTGAGAGCAGGGCAGAGCGGAGGCGACGCGGGTTGCCGCGGTCACGTGCGTCGCGTGCGCGTTGCGAGTGAGGCGGCTTTCGGGGCTGTGAAGGAGCCGAAGACCTCGGGAGTCGGAGACCTCGGGAGTCGGGGGCGGCGCGATCCCCGTAGCGGAGTCCTGACGAACCGGACATCGTCCTGGGACTGAGCGTGAGAACCGAGGTCGCACCACACACTAGCCGCTTGGACCCTGAGACAGGCCTCTGCAAATCCCTGATGAATTTAGACCTCTAGACTACACAGAAACCGAAGGACTTGACCGAGATCGAGAAAGTCATTTGCATACCGAGAAAGTGTGAGGCACAAATATGGAGGCCCAAAACGAGAGAATGTGTGGACGCGCTCATCAGAGTTTTGATGCACAAATATTTGTTGAGCACTTACCTTGTTTTAATGGATCCACCCTCATAGACATTATTTCATGGAAAGAGAAGACAATAATAATAATATCTAAACTATAAGTACTACAAGGTACATTAAGGCATTATGGAGTAGTGAGTTAACCCGCTTGAAAAAATTCAGAAACCGACACCTGGATTAGTACAGATGAACAGAAATTTAGATATAGGACATAACTGAAATATAAATGCAAAGATGGAATCGCCAAAACTGCAACATCAAAATTTAGAAGAAGAAGAAGAAAAAGCAGATTCTGAAGCCTGGAAAAACAGTCACAAACACCAGAGGTTGAAAAAGAAAAATTGGAATCCTGAAGTAGTGGATGCCAAGAAAGTCAGAGATAAAGGACGATCCGGGCATATTCAAGAAAACATTTGCCTGCCATCTCTTGGGCCAGCACTGAGTTCTTCCTTAAAGCCTTCAGTTCTGGACTTCAGGGTCAACAAAGAGCAACTGGTCCATCTCGCAGAAGAATAAACAAGCCTTAGAAACCCTGTGGGGACCTGGGGATATAACTCAGTGGTAGAGCTCATCCTTACAATGTGGGGGTTCCTGGGTTCAATCCCCAGCACCAAAATAAAAAAGTAAAACAGGGACTTGGAAGTGTGTATCACATGAGAAAAGAAATAAAAGTACTAGAGTCAAAAATTACTCCTTCAAAATATATTTAGGCCATGAGGCAGAACCAATTTTAGAAAACACTAAATTCATATGCTTTACTAAAACAGGACATTGCATCTTTTTTACAGTGGCCAAGATGGAGAGTACCATGAAATTTAAACCACAAGAAGCAAGGTAAAAGCAATAATTGAAGCAGTAAAAAGTAGACGTGATGATGTAGAAGAGCAAATCAAAAAAGAAAAAACAAAGAACCAAGTGATCAAAGTAAGACAGAAAATGATGGATCATTCCTGGAAATTCAAATTATAGTTATCTCCCCCCACAAAAAACCCACAGCAAATCAAAAATAAAATCAAAATGGAAGAAAACTTTCCTTAGGTCTGAAAAGATTGAAGTAGAGGTGGAAAATCGAGGATCAAGAAGAATGGATAAGCAGAAACCAACTTCAAGATATAACCTGGAAAAATGATAAATTTTAGGGATAAAAGACAATATCATCAGTAAACAAAAGGTTATTTTTATATTTATTTATTTAAATTATTGAGACAGAGTCTTGCTGTGTAGTCCAGGCTGGTCTTAAACTCACTATGTGGTCCACACTGGCCAATAACTCATGGCAGTCTTCCTGCCTCAGCCTTTCAAATGCTGGGATTGCAGACATGTGCTACCATGCTTGATGACAAAAGATTATTATTGCTTTGGGTTTTGTTTCGTTTTGTTTTTTGAGACCGGGTCTCACTGTGTAGTTGAGACTGAACTGGAAATCACTGTGTAGCCCGGGTTGGTCTCAAACTCACAGCGCTCCTCCTGCCTCAGCCTCCCAAGTGCTGGGATTACAGGCATTCACCACCACACCCAGCTTTTGACAAAAGATTATTTTTAAAGCAAAAAACTGACTTGCTATTGCTTCTCTGCAATAAGTAAATGCTAAAGGAAAATGAAACAGAGTGACAGCACTCTGAAGATTAAGTTGTGGCCCTCCGTGGATGATTTCATTGATTCTGATGCTTTCATTCCTCCTAGATCATTAATTGTTGCTCAGCATGTCTACCTGCACACTGGACCGCTCCATGTGACATCCCACAGAGACATCATCTCCACATATCCAAACTGCCATTGGTTAATTGCATAGGTTCTGTGCTCACACTGCTAGAGGCTTTGAAGCTTGGTTGACCCACTTAACCTGTGTGATCTTGACCTCAGTTTCCCTAGACTTTAGATGGGGATTGCAAGACTGTCTACCTCATAATATGGTTGTGAAAAGGGAGTAAACACTCGTGAAGAATCTGGCACATGGCACATTATGTACCCAATAAATATTATCTGTTTTTGTTATCTACACCACCCAAACCTGTTCTACATCTTGTATCTATGGGTAGTGTCACCTCTACCCAGCCAGATGCTCGAGCTGGAAATTTGGCTATCATCTTTTAACAGTGCACTTTAGGCTGGGGTGTAGCTCAGTGTTAGAATAATTGTCTCATACAGGTAATGCACTCTGTCTCATTCATGACCTCCCCCCATCAAACCATTCACAAATTCTTGTAAATTCTTTTTTTTTTTTTTTTTTTGATACCTTTTTCTGGGACCTTGCACTTGCAAGGCAGGGGGCGGCACCACTGAACTGAATCCCCAGCCTGTAAATTCTATTTCTATGTTCAGGAATAGTTACTACTCTTAGGTGTGGTCTCCAAAACGGCAGCGTTATCTGGGACTTTGTTAGAAACGTAGCATCTTGCTGGGGATTTAGCTCAGTGGTTCTGCCACCTGCCTTGCAAGTGCAAGGTCCCGAGCTCAATTCCTGGTACCCCCCCAAAAAAATAGAATAAAAAAAGAAATGCAGCATCTTAAGCCTCACCTCAGACCTCCAGAATCAGGATCTGCATTTTAACAAGATGCCCAGATGATTTGTCTGTATATTAAATTTTGAGAGGCAGGATTTATGTAACCACTTCATTTTCACTGCCACTCTGCTGTTTAGAGCCTGCTGCATAAACTCACGGAGACTACCAAGGTGGCTTTAATTAACTGCCCCACATTCATGGTTGCTTTTTTTTCCTACCAGCATCCATTTTTTGATTCATTAGTTTTATTGGTACATTTTAGTTATACAATATGATGACATTCATCTTTGGGAATTTGTACCATGTTCTTATTTTTTTCCCCATTTCCCTGCCCTCCTTTCATCCCCTCCACCCTTCCCTATTAACAAAGACTCTCTTTCCATTTTGTCCTTTTCTCACATTTATTCCTTTCCCTTTTTTTTTTCCTTTTCCCTACTCCTCCCACTTCCCCTTCCCTTTGGACCTTTCTTTCCTACTTCATGTTAGTATACATTTTGATCCTTATTTACACTTTCAGCTTCTCACACCAGAGAAACTATTCGGCATTTACACCTGTGCGTCCTATTTATTTCACTTAAGAACATGGCCTCAGTGTGCATCCATTTCGTTATAAATATCTAGTTTCTCATTCTTTATGGCTGAGTAGTACTCCATTTTATTAAAAAGAACACATTTTCTTTATCCAGTCTCCAGCTGATGGCAATCCATTTTTCCATAACAAATCCGACCATGTCTACGCCCTTTTTTTTGTTTTTATTCTTTGGGGGTGCCAGGGGCTGCATGTGCTAAGTGTATGCTCTGCCACTAAGCTACACACCCAGTCCCCTTCATCCCTTCCTAAAGTCGACGGGCCTCCCTTACAGGTTAAATGGGGCTCTTGCTGACACCCCCTTTTCTCCCATGCACCAGCCAGACAAAATGCTTTCGTTTCTCCCATGTTTTGGTTTTCTGCATGGGCCAATCTCTCTCCCTATAACGTGCTTTCTCTCTTTTTATTTATTTATTTATTTTCTTTCTCTTTTTTCAATTTTTTGGGCACCAGGGATCGAACTCGGGACCTTGCACCTGCAAGGCAGGCAGCAGAACCACTGAGCTAAATCCCCGGCCTCATAGAGAACATGCTTTCTCTCCGTTGGTCAGCCTTTGTGGATGTTTTCAAACTACAGTGGCAGAGCGTCGCACTTCTAGATTCTCATAGACCACTGTGCACTTGGGATGCTTCGAGGAAGCCAAAACTGTGCTTCTGCACTGCCCCTCCGGCTAATTGGGCCTCTCAGCCGAGACCTGTACCCAGGCTAGTACCAGCAGCTCAGTGGGCTCACCTGCTCCAGTACCTGGGCAGCCGGATCTGATGGCTCAGGTGGCAGCCACTGTAATGGGTGTGTTGGTGGGCTCTGCTGTCGGACACACACTGGGCCATGCCATCCCTGGGGATTCAGAAGAGGAAGAAAAGCTGACCCTGTAAGGTTTGAGACTACTTTCCACAAGTCCCAAGGAACCCTGCCAGCATGGCAGCAACAGCAGTTTGACCTTTAACTCTATGAGCTGAAGTAGTTTTTGTAGTGTGTGCAGAACTAGGGTGATGTTCAGCTTCGTGAGGATTTAAATAAAGGGCAGAAACGGTGCAGACTTGCAAATGGATTAGTCTAGTCAGGAAGTTCTGATAGAAGCAATGGAAAATTCACTCTCACATCCAAGAAACTTTTTGTTGCGGGTTTGTTTTTTGAGACAAGGTCTCAATATGTAGTTCAGGCTGGGTTTGAACTCACTATGTAGCCCAGGCTGGCCTGGAACTTGTGGCATTCCTCCTACCTCAGCCTCCCAAGTGCTGGGGTTACAGTCATGGGCCATCACACCCCGCCTTTGACTAAGTAAATTTAACATGCAAATGTAATTGCTAGTGAAAGTATAAAGTGTGAAAGCATCCTTTAAATCGCTCCTCTGTTCCTTGTTTGCTTCTTGTAGTGCTGGGGATAAAACACCAAAGGCTTCAATCCCTGAGCTGTAGCCCAAGCCTCTTCTTTCACCAACAGTTTCCTCACTTCAGAATTGCAAGGGAAGAGGCTGTTCTCACTGCATAGAAATTCCCCGAGGTGGTCGAGAGTCTGGAGTGGGGGCACAGATGTTTATATGGCCTCTTTTTTTTTTTTTTTT